TACATGAGAAAGTTTGTGATTTTTATAGCGATACATAACAAAGAAACGCTAAGAAAATTATTCATGGTGAAGTTACATTTAATACAATTATACAGCATGAGGAATAAGATAATATAAAAAAGAATATGAAACAAAAGAAATCAAAGAGAAATACAAAAAATATATCAAATTGTCAATTTCATTTTCATTAGAGAGTATATAATTACTTATTTGTAAAATATATCACTGGCCTGCTTGACTGGTGATAACATTTTACAATATGATAACGAATAAACGGTATAACACTTGCCGCCGCGTCAGTCTATTCTTCTGTTATATTCTGTTCTGTTTAAAAATGGATACGTACATTGTTGATAAATACTTTATTTTAAACTGACTTACTTGCATCGATATAAAAGTTGGTATTGTTTATTGTTAGAAGCTGAATTGTGTGCAATTAAAACAAACAAAACTGTCTTTAGTAATAGAATTTGAAATTTGCGGTACGCTGGAAAGGCAAACAATAGAATGTATAAAATGCAAATCGAAGTGTGTAGCAGAAATGAATTTGTTGGAAGTACGAGTATGTTAATTTGTGAAAGTTCTCGTTCGTGTAATAAATTGGCGTTTTCTTTGTGGCCCTAAAAATACAATGTAACAAGAAATGCATTTGATTGTCGCTACACGCTGTACAAAACTTTCATTATAAGGAGTATTCTTTAATATGCTGTTCTGAATTTGAATAAAGAAATATAATCGAATTGCTCTAAAAAGTTTGAAATAGTCTTCATAATTATGATCGTTTTAAGTTTTTATAATTCAACCTTTTATTTGACTGTTGAAGCTGCGCATACCAAGACTGTTTTGTGTTGGTCTATTAGTGTTAATCTTGCAAGTTTATGTATATGTACGTGATTTATTTAGATCCTTTTTTTGCCAAAGATCAGGACGGTCAACAGAATTCAGAATTCTCTTAGATCTAATAGATCTATTGCAACTCATGATAAGTAAAACTGGTCATGTATTTGTAAAGTTGAAACGATATTTTATTTTATTTCCCCTTAACGAGACGATTTCAAAATGAGATCTCCCTAGTTTTAATTGTAATAGATATTTGATACCGTCCAATTTCGGCCATTAGCATGTTCAGGGGGTCGATTTATGAGATTTGGTTACTTTACGTAGAAAATTCTTTATGAACTTTTTCTAATATATTCAAATCTTCAAATCCAAACATTTCCGATCCATATGCCAAAATATTAAAACGGTATGATCATATAAGATCTAACGGTAAATCTGAGTTTTATGATTTAGTAAATAGTAAATACATTGCCTTAGTGAGCTACGTTCTTTCTCAGCAATTTCTAACATGGTTTCAGGTCAAAACATAGTTGTAAAACCCAGCTTATTTAGAGCAAGGCCAACGGACCGATGTCATTGTCATGGTTACTTTACGTAGAAAATTCTTTATGAACTTTTTCTAATATATTCAAATCTTCAAATCCAAACATTTCCGATCCATATGCCAAAATATTAAAACGGTATGATCATATAAGATCTAACGGTAAATCTGAGTTTTATGATTTAGTAAATAGTAAATACATTGCCTTAGTGAGCTACGTTCTTTCTCAGCAATTTCTAACATGGTTTCAGGTCAAAACATAGTTGTAAAACCCAGCTTATTTAGAGCAAGGCCAACGGACCGATGTCATTGTCATGGACTTCAGCAAAGCAGTTGATAAAGTCGACAATCAAAAACTTCTCCTTTAACTACAATGGTCGCACCCAACAGGTCGTTGTTGATAGTCAAAACTCTGACAACCTACCTGTTCTCTTTGGTGTTCCCCAAGGTTCGGTCCTAGGACCTTGTCTTTTCTTATCTTACATCTCCCTGATAGCGTTAAGGGCAAGGATGGACTGTTTCTAACAACCAAATCCACCCAAGATGCAAAAACCCTCCAAAAAGATCTAAACAGTTTTGAAAACTGGGAATCTGATTGGTCCATGGGATCTAATCTACATAAATGTGAAGTCCTTACTATCAGCCGCAAGAAAAATCCGGTAATATGCCATTATAATTTACATTGTTAACTGAGGCTGCAAAACATTAAGGTGTATCAATTAGTAAAGATCTATCTTGGAACAATTATGTAAATAGTATAACAGCAAAAGCAAATAATTTACTCAGATTTATAAAAAGAAGAGTCAAAACTTCCAACAAAAAGGTTAAAGAAACTGCCTACAAAACTTATGTAAGGCCCAAGTTAGAATACTGTTCCACGGTTTGGCATCCTTGGCAAAAATATCTGGTTTACAAAGTAGAACAAGTTCAAAGGTCAGCTGTCAGATATGTATACAATGACTACAATTACACCAGTAATGTATCTAAAATGTTAAGTGATCTAAATTGACAAACTCTAGAGCAGAGGCGCTACATCAGCATTGTTACCCTACTCAACAAAAAAACAACACAATCTTGTGAGGGTCGACCCTCACTATCTGATGAAGAATTTAATTTTCGTTCGCCGGATGCCCTAAATTCGTCCATGTCCTAGATTCAACACCCTCACTTTGTATTTCTCAACATACCTCATGTCAGGAAGTCTAAATAACAAATGTTCATCCAGGCGGTGTAAAATTCCGATCACACATTTCCGAAGTTTTATGTAAATAGCCAAGCAATAATTCATTGATCAAAATTATATTCATCCGCATAATTTGTGAGTTTGACTTGATTGAAAATTCTATAAACCAATGTTACTTTTAAAGTTTGAATGCGTTATAATTCGTTTGATACTTGTAAAAAAAATACTTTTTTCTTTTACAACGCTGGTTTTAAGTTGCTTTAAGAACAACTTTTTTTGTATGTTCACAGGGAAGCGCTGTGCCAGTAAAATATGTTTATGCCTTAATACTTATCACTAACTTTTAAATGAAAAAACAACAACAACAAACACAGTTTTTTATTGCAGACTGAGATGGTCAGAAAGGATTGATTGGTATTTAATTTGACTGAATTCAAGGGTGAATGATCATGCTAATGTAAAGCGGTTGATAATCTGTTTCTTTTACAAAATAAAATAGTTGTGATAAAAACGCAACATTTTCCTTCAAGTTATTATTATTTTGTTTGTACCAAAACTCGTTTTAATACTCGCTCGCACGCACTAAGTTATCCTTTGCATATCTTTCTATTTTAATTACCCCAGTTGATTTATGTAAGAAAGTAATTTTATGATTTTATATACATTGTATTACTAACCATAATGATGAATATGTTTTACACTGTATGAGCGCACATAGAACATTTTGTTACTAATACATACATCTTTATCAATATCTTATAATGCAGATCTATTCTTGGCTATTTGACAACTAAATAATATGTTTATGGCATGACTTAGACATGAATATATTGTAATTTTTGTCACTTAAAGCCAAGATACCGTGGGCGGTATGTACACCACCTTGATATTGTCAGCTGACAAAATACCTGTCATACTTATAACAGTCATATTACAAATTCACAGAAACGAACAGTATTCAACGTGTACTTTCAATATATAACATAAAAAGCAAAACACATTTTAAGGTTCAAGGTCTTGCAAAAAAATCTTGATTTATGGTGTTTTGTTCTTTGTCATATCAAGTTACATCGAGAATTGGAAGAAACAAGTTGCCCCCCCCTTTTTTTGTTTTGCGGATTAATTTTCGTAATTTATACAATAACATAACATAAGGTGACTTCATGCATTCTTGATTTAAAGCCTTGCAAAGCAGGTCGTGCATATAATAAACCTATAGAGTCACAGTATACAAGTTAATGTTTTGAAACCTTTCTTAAAACTTAAATATTTCACCAGTTTGAAATTCGAAAAGAAGCTGGATACTTCAACTACTCATTGCGTGACGTTGTTTTAGTTAACTTTATTGTAAAATCTATACAAATTTATCTGTTCAATTCAATTCAATTCAAATTCAAATAGTATATTTACGTCTCACCACATGTACAACACATACATCACAATCAAAATGAATAAAACTGGTAAAAGTACATATGCCATTCAATATAGAATTATATGAGACTTGTAAGCAAAGCTTACATCTATAGGTTAATATAATAAAAGATCATATTTACATACTTATATGATTATATACTATACACACTTATGATAAATGAATTGGGAATGCTGTGAATCTATCATTTTTAAGCTTTCATATTCCTACTAATGTGTCTAAAAGTCTATATATAAAAAACAATTCACTAGTCTGATGTACAACAATTCTAATGAAAATTAAGAGAAATAAAATATAAAATGTATATTAATGAAATAAATTCAATCTGTAAGATTCATTACACTCTATCTTAAAATACCTACTTAATAAAAGGAATAGTTACCTGCAATAAAACGTCTTTGTTTTAAAATATTAAAGCAGGCTTTGACTGTAAACTTAGTCATACATGGATTAACAAAAACGTTATGCATTTTCTCCACATCAGATAAGTTATCAAAATTATTAACAATTGTGCTCGCAGATTCAAATAGGTCTTCCCTGAATTGTATCAAAAAGCTAAACAAACTTAAAGAATCATTTTGTCATAAACGTCTGTTTAATGCAATCTTTAATTCTAAAGCCTAATTCCTGTTTATAATGCTTACCTTTTGAGAAAACAAGAAAACAAGAACAAGAAACAAACAAATAAACAGTAACAACAACAATCAACAAAACAAAAAATAAAAACAAACTGATCATCATAACCTGTCAGATAAGAGAAATAAAAACAACACATTTAGGAAGTAAGTACTTAATTAGCAAAGTAATAAAATTGAAATATCATAAACGTCTCAAGCTACCACTAAATATCTTGAATCTTTAGTACAAAATTACATAAATTTCATAGCATATCAAAGGTGCGTTGATGTGTCTAAATATAGAAAATCACGACAGCACCATATATTCTTTATATTTAGCAACACATTTTGACTATGTCTTTTGCACAAATGAGTAGGCCTAGTGATAAAATAATATACACAGTTTTCTGTGTACTTGATCTGAACTTTGTTTTATAATAATACTCATAAAGCACATGTGATCTTGATGTCTTTATAATTAAACTTGACCGTCCATTAGTACGTCGGAGGGTATGGAGACAATAAAAAGCTGTTGATTGTGAGGAAGATGACAACCGCCTTTCATATAACAAGCGTAAATGCCCGAGGCATTCCGCTTGTGACATATTTTTACTTTCTTAATCACTGGATAATTGTTTATGTGAGCTCGTGTTTACTTTTTCTTATATTTTTTTTGCGTATTGTCTCGCATTTTCGTTCTCTGTGTACATGGAAAATATGTCTTTAAGGATGGATAAATGAAATCTACAAAGTGTACAAGTGTAAACCAGAACGAAATTCCTGTGTCAAGGTTTGTCCTGCGGAGCCAGAGCTGAATGAAATATGAATAATAAACAAGTTTCTGATTAGATGTTTAAATTTTGCTTGAAATATGTATATGTTTCATATAATTTAGACGAAGGTTATCCAAAGACAAGGCTATCCAAAGACGGTCTGAATCAACTTCCGCCGAGAATGGATTAAAAGGAAATAAATGTGCATGTTCTGAAAAGTAATGATTTCAACATTCATATGTTACACAGTTTATGGAGAGATTTATATTTCTCAGAAACAATTATGATTATAATTGAACTATTTCTTTTAAAACTAAAATATGGAAATCAATGCTAGATGCAAATAAATTCAGGCGAACGTTATTATGCATAGTCTAAAGACAATGATGAAAATGGATTAAATAAATGATTCAAATGAATCTATTATAGAAGTTTTCAGAGTCAGAAGATATACTATGAAACTATGGTACCGTTGATGTACGCAAGATCTTTGAAAAAACTTGTATTCCACAGAAAATGTCTTATTCTACTAGTGGTAATCACAGCTCCATTCTTCTTGCTTACTTATGGTAAGTTATTTTTGACATACTTCGTGAGATGTATTTAAATTTTCTGGATACGACTACGCTATAGAAATAAAGAAGGCTTTCACATGTTTTTATTGTACATTGTTTCAGGCATGCAGCCCGTGTAAAGACACAAACCTTAGAATGATAAAAAGGTTCTCACATCTTACGTTAATGTAACATAGTATTAAACGTTACATGGTGTATTTCAAATGCATGTAACATGAGGATGAAGTATCATAAGTATGTTACATAAAATTGTTTTTACTGCAGCATAAAATTTATATAAAGAGAAATGTCTAGAATTGATATAGAATCAGTACCTGAAAATGTACTCTCAGACAGAATATATGACCATCTAAAGAAAAAAAGAAAGGAGAAATATTTTATTTTTATGTTTACTTACCTATGTATTACCTTCGTTTATCAAGAAAACAAATTTCTTAAATATCATGTGTCAGTTTATTTAAACAAACAATGAGTCACCTTTGAAATATCACATAAATGTCAGTTTTTGAGAAAGAAAACAGTCCATGATTGCCATTAGATTTAATGTTGAAGATCAGTAAATTATGAAATACAATAACCACTTCAAGGGTGTAAAACTATATATCTGTCGTCTGTAATTTACAAAAATAGTGTTTAAATTGTTCACGTGTTCTAGATATGAATAATGTTACATTAATTTCGAGAATAAACTATAAAATTATAAACAGCACATTATTACTGTATATAAAATTTATGAATATATTTCAATTAACATAGCTTTTAATTATACCTTAAGTTTTTTAATGTTTAAAGTCATCATATGATACAAAGTTAATATACATTTGTACCTTGACATTGTTATGTTGTTTTATTGTTCTTAACATTTGCCCTTTAATTGATAAATGATGAATAATGTCATTTATTTTCATTCGTAAATTGATGGGGGATATTCAGTTATAAAGGCGAACCTTTAAGTGTACAAGTATCAAATTTGATTTCCGGTTGTTAAAACATTTATTGCAAAGTCATTGTATACTTATAAACCAAGTTTCGATTCATTCAAACAAATTCTAATAAAACATGAAATAGAAATAAAGTAATATCATTCCCTTCGTACAAATGATGCATTTATAAATTTCATAGTGATTATAGTAATACATGTATGCAGTCGTTTTAATTACATATTTTTTGCTAAAACATAACAATTACCTCAATTGTGGTATTCTAGTTATTAAAACAATATATGATGTTATTTTGTCGTTTAAATTTTAGCAAACGACACCAGATGCTGTTGCAATCAGTATGTTATAAGCTATTATTGCAACAATTACCTGCTGGTCTACACTTTATTACATTTAACATGTAAAACACCGTCATTCACATCTCAGAAAGGATGCTACATGTTGCATCGACGTAATAAAATGACACGAATTGTTTCATTGACAGATGCCTCATAAAAATGTTTAAAATTGCATTAAGCTTGTAATGAAATTTCATTTTGCGTTGTAGGAAAAAAAGACAGTCATTGATTGGACATGAGTACACATGAAATAAAACGTGAACATATAATGAGTTTATTTTTCACCATTTATGTTAACTGTCAAGCTATATTTGACGCATGTATGAGACGGTGATGATGACGTCATTTAATTGATGTCATTTGCTGAATGTAAAATAGACGAATACGTCATTTTGATGGCTAGAGCTAAATAGCTAATTTTTCTTTGTAACTATTTGTTGCACCAAAATGACCATCCAAAAGTCATTGATCGGTCAAGATCCTGATTTATTCAACAATAAGCGGTTATTTTTTATTTTTTTCATAGGTGAACAGTATTCGTGTTGTCTTAATATGTTACTTTCAAGTAAAACAGGCCGAATTCAACTTTAAACTTGCATTTAAATAAGTTTAATTGTTACATATTCATCTGTATTTAGATCTATACCGTCTTGCATTGAAATAATTGTATATCATTTCAATTATTAATAAAAGATACAGACTTACATAGTCACTTTTAAAATGTAATTAAATGATTGATACCTTATTTTCTTTTCTTTTAATTGATTTCGAAGTTATGTGTATTGAAAGAAGTCAGAGAAAATGCACATTATGTACGTCCGGGGATATAGAGGATGAATTTCATTTTATAATAATATGTCCAATTTATAGTGATTTAAGAAGTATGTACATTTCAAGATACTTTACTGTTAATCCTAGTGTTTATAAATTCATACAATTGTTAAATGCAGATAAAAAATTGGTTATTAGAAAATTAGCAATATTTTGTATTAAAGCATTTGAAAGACGAGACAATTTGGTAGATTAGCATATCAATATGATATTAATAATGTAGTAATTTATTTTTGGCATTCTCAGTCAACTTGTTTAACTATGTCATAAATATTTGAATATAACTGATTGAATTTATTATGACATGATTCTTGATGCATGCATTGTAATAATTATTATATGTATGTTATGATGATGGGTGTTGAGCCCAAGTCAGAAATAAAGTATATGTTCTGTTCTGTTCTGTGATAATATTGTGTTAAAAACTGTGACAAATCTGACGGAATTCATACATAACATATTTATTTTATGAAAATCTTCACTGAAAATCGAAATTGTGAAACTTCAACTTTTTCTTATTAGCAACAAAGAAAAATTTCTACTAATTTATTTATTCATTTATGTAGAAACAATGTAGTTATTGTTTGTTCTTTTTTTAATCAAAACAGACATACTTCCAATTTAAACATGCTTATTTTGCATAAATAAAAATTATTATTGCACCATGTCCTTTAAGTTTTATCTTTATATAATCATAACGACATTGTGTATAAAGGTGGGTTAAAGACAAACGAGGAGAGATCACCGTTAAGTTCGTACATGAACATGAATTACAAAAAAAAGACGTGGTTACATTTGAAAAACGGATTCACGCCTCTGCACTTATATAACTTAATATGTTTCTGTCATATAAAAATGTGTTAACCTTAAAGTAATGTGTTTTCATATCCTCAAACAATGAGTGTATTTTCCAGTCCAGATATTTAACTTTAAATATTTAGACTTTTTTGTTTTCTTTTGTTTTTTTTTATTGTAACGATAATTAGAACATACTATTACCCCTCACTTTTCTCGTAATGCTAATTTCCCATAGGCCTCTGGGAGTTATTTTACTGTTAATGCAAGTGTACCACGTGACTAAGAATTTTGTACTGTTACATAGGTAACAGTATTTTTTAACAGTATAAAATCTGGTCACGTGGGCTATTTTCTAAATAAAATTAAATAAAATGGCCGCCATTTTTTTCTCGCTTCATTCTTATTTACGACGTTAAACCCCGATAGGACATCAATTTCTTCTCTGGAGTAACAATGACACTCATAAAATTTAGTTGTTCGCACCCTTGTGTGCTTTTCGCGTATAAAATATCTTTTTGTTGAATAGTCAAAAAGTGAACATCCGTTTCCAACGGAAGTAATTGCAATGTAAATAAATTTTATGTGTCAAACTCGAACATGCAGAAGATTTAAGCATGCAACAAAGGATTATTTAACAATTTTAATCAGTGAAACGTTACAGATATGGTGGACAGATATAAAATATCATCGGTATTTTGTCAAAAACCATGCTAAGAATATTCTGGAAACAGAAGGATCAGATTTTACAGATCATAACCGTGTAAATGGGTTAGTGTTTTGTTTTCTAAATAAAACCTAGCTTTTTGTATGTTTATGATTTGTAGATATCACCATTTGCTTTAAGAATAAAAGAAAAAAGAAAACTTCTCAAGTAGGCCTAAAGTACACTTAAAACTTAAAAGGTAAGGTCAGTTTAGTTATTGTTACTCTTTATTTTAATGTTTTTGTTACAGTTAGATCTAGATTTAGTTGACAATTTCAGATCATCACAGTATTTTTGTTCGGGGTAATAAAATAAATAACACATGGATTTGTGAGTAACAGAAAAATATCATCCCTCGTAAAAATACTGTTACCCGAGGCGTAGCCGAGGGTAACAGTATTTTTACGAGGGATGATATTTTTACTGTTACCCACAAACCCATGTGTTATTTATATACTATTACGAACGTAATACAATAGAATTGTAACTTTTATACCATTATAAAATCAAACATATTACATTTCTATATATTATATTTATATCTGTAAATGATTGATCAAGAAAATCAAACCGCAATAAAATCAGTTAAATGTAAACAACATGACTCGTATAACAATAATGGGAATTAGTATATCCTAAAATAAAAACACGGTAATAAACGTCAGTGTTTCTGTGCTGATGAATAAAGCCATTGGCGCTATATATAGCAAAATAGAAAAACAAGAGGTCAGAGCAACACCGACGTATATTGTTATCTATTTCCGTTATGAATACGATTGTGCTGAACTTAAACATCAGAAAAAATAATATACGCCCAACATGTGTCGACAATAACATGGCAAGTTATTTTGTAATTTCATAATATCAGATTGCATGTTTTATATGTAACTTTTTATGCATGTATTTTCTATGCGCGTTCACCATTGTGTTTTTTATACTATGTTGATACTCGTTGAAAACTATGTGTGGTTATGTGTAAAATACAAGACAAACTTTTAAATGATATTGTTGACTTTGACATTTATTTTAACAATGTGAGCATATGAATATAATTATGATTCAACACTAAAATTGAAAACAATTTCAGCACCATTTTTACACCTTATAGTAAAAATTGACTAACACATACTATTGAAAAAAATATGTAAATTATATTGACACCATTACACATAAAGCTATATTTGCATATATCAATCACAGTATGCATATTTTGAATTCTAACCTTCTGTAGTTTTTATGAAGCCGAATGATGTGGTATGTGTGCTCCTCTTTATGGTATTGTAAATAAATAAGAGAATATAAGTTGTTTATTTAGTTTAAACTTATTTATAAAAGCTCGATTGCGAAACAAATTTTTGCTACTTATATCAATCACTTTCGACTCCGCTTCCAAAAACTTACCAATATGGGTGTCATATGACGAATCATGGAACCACTGGGCCACCGCACCCCTTTATTTGTTTATTTTGGAAGATTTGTATCGTATTTAAAATTAATAGAACTGAAGTTTGACTAAAATGTCATTTATTGGTAAAACAATTGAAAAATTGTAATTATTCTTTTATTACTTACGCTTTGAATAATTGTATTCATAAAATTACAGTTAAGGCAAAGTCGGATTTTTATATACGTTAGTGAGGTCGTTTTATGCTTGCATAAAATATGTGATAAATATAAGTACAGAAAGAATACAACTGGTTAATTGGTTATAAAAACTGACAGGACGTTGTCTGTGCGTTTGCAAGTAACGTATGTTTTGCAAGTGTTGTCATTGTCATTTAATATATAATATAAACAAAGTTACTCGTTTAAATGGGATACCTTTAGCCATAAAATTAATTTATGAACTTGGCAATGTTACATGACCAATGACACCGCGTGAGCAACCTTTGGCAACTTTGGCAATGTATACGTTAGTACGCTATCTTACTTTGATGGACATATTAAATCATACATCTTGACAACATTTAGTCACCTAAGAGCAGTAACATGTTAACTCTTTATATAATTTAATAAGAGTTAACCCTTTACTGCACTAACTGGCAATTTATGTGTTACTCACACATTCATGTTGCATCAATCATTATAAATGGTAAAATCAACTAGTAGTAGTCATATCCATATAGTCTATCGATGGTAACATCTTCTCCAAATAAAATGTTTAGTAAATACTGGCTTAACTCCTTCATTGAATCAAATTATTATTACGTTTTTTCAGAGTTGTATTACAATGCTGAATAATCATTTAAGATATTCTTAAATTTGATAACAAGTTATTGGATTAATAACTATATGTGTGATATAGAAATATACATGTATAACAGGCACGTTATTTTTTTAATATTTGTCATTGCGTATGGTGACTGATTTAATTAAACATACTACATGCGGGGCGCCGGACGCAACAAAGTCAACATTTTGTCGTGCTTTGTGTTTTTTTTGTGGTGACTTTGTCGTGATTTTGCCTGACGCCCAGCAGAGCAAAAATACGAAATGGCACATCTCACCCTCCATAGTTGTTAAACAAGCACAAGCTAATTTTATAATTTTATAACTTCCGAGAAGAAATTTTTAAATTTGATATTTAACAGAAAAGATCGCGTGGTACAAAACGATGTCGTTTTAACTGTAGGTTAAATAGATGAATAAAATATTTACAAAACAAACAAACACATTATGATTAATGAAACAAATGTCATATGTCAGTGTCACTGAAAAGAGTCCATTATTTATTCCTGTATCTTCTGGCAATGAAATATTTATAAATGTGTAAATGTATAGTTTTTATATTGAAATAACGGGAACTATTGTGTTCAATGTTTGTGAAGCTTAAAGGTTAATGAATAAGATGCAAGACGTTTTTACTACGATAGATACAGTTAAATAAATACTAGAACATCATATTTTAAAGTTAAAACTGAACGACATAATTGTTAATTACTTAAAGTTTAAAATAGTCGTAATATCATTATCCAGACGTATACAAAATAGCACAATTTTTTGCTTTATGTGTAACTTCCCAAACGTTGGTAACTCTGTTACAATTCGTGTGTTTATTTAAACTGCAACTATGCATTACGATAAAATGTATCCATTCCTTTGAAAATATATCAGTAAATCTTTACGACAACTAAAATCAAAGAAACACTTTATCGCGGCTAAATGATTAAATTGGCATGCAATCAATAAACATAATTTGATATATTTAATATTTCTTATTCATTTGTAAGCTATAATCGTCACAAATGATATTTGAATAATTATAAAGAATATTCCCATCATATTTATGACACCACTAACATCAAACTTATTTTAATATAAAACTTGGAGCCGGAAAAATATAACAAAACAGCTGGTTTGCAACAGCTGTATGATTCAGACTTCTACCTTTTATAAAAGCAAATAGATTCTAAAAAGCTCCCTCTGTTATCCTGTCCGTGGTTTGCCTTATACCTTATCGGTCTTACACTGTGGTTCCTTGTCGCTGGCCTTTGCTGCTGGAAAGTGTGGAGGCTGCATTCATTGAACGCCATCTTTCCTTGTTGGTCTTGTTTATGTTCATCATATTTGACCTCGAGCGACAGTTTGATACTACATATAAAGTTCAATTTCATATGCAAACATGCACTGTAAGATGTAAGGGACGTGGACAGTAACTTGCACTTTCCAGTACCGTCCATGAATAGGCTCAATCAATCGAGCCTGCAACATTTTCATTTTTGTCATTTTGCGTATTCTTTAGGGATTCCGTTTCCTCTGGTTTAATCTGTAACATGGTCACTTAAAAATAGTGCTTTGCAGAGTAACATAAGTACAGTTCAGCATGAAAATATTAAATTTTTCAATCTTCTAACATTAAAATACTAGATAATGCCAAGTTTTGTAAAAATGTTATATCTTTATAGTCGGTACTAATTTGTTTCTTTAACTTTATTTTCTAAGAATATATCATACATTTTGTCATAATTTTCTCAGCAAAAAAGAGTTGAAACATAAAATTATAACAATAAAAAAACTACGGAATATTGCGTTGGCTGAATATAAATAGCTGGAAAAAGTGATCCATCTGAATCATCAAAATCAGCAAAATAGGGGTCTAAGTTTGATAGAAACTGTACATGAGGGATAATGAAAAAATGCAACATCTCTCACTTCCTTTAGCACCTGTTTAAGGGCTCAAATTCAAGACTTTAAAGTGCTGGAATCAATGATCCTGAAGGACTAGAAAAATAAAACAAAACTGACGTGAAGTACAGGGCATCTTTTTAGGCTGCCACCTGGCACTTAAAACCTGCTGTTGTGAAGTATAAATATCAGGGGAAAAGATCCCTCGGAAGTATACATACCTCAGTATGTGAATTAAATGACGTCGGTTGTTGTAATTTATTTCAGATATTTAAAACATGTTTCAAATTAGAAAAGTTTCATATAATTCGGAAGATAAATAATTCATACTCTTATGACAGGCTCATTATTCTTAGTTATGAAAAAAAAAACTTTTCGTCAGACTAAGTTTAACATGTGTTTTTGTCATTAATCTTGTCTTGAAACATTACCTATTAATTGTCATCTGAAATATTGGTATGTAGACTAAACTTGCTCACCTCAAAACGATTGTCTAACATGAAATGGCTGCACTGCCACGTGGGTAACGCGTCGGACTAGTAATTTAACGATTGTTTGACGTGTGAGTCTTCTATACTTCACAAGGTGTCAAGTGCTGTGTGGCAGCTGTAAAAAGTTGCCCCGTGCTTCACTTCAGCGTTGTTATAAATTTTTCTTATCCTTTGGGATCATTGATGCCAGCACTATTAAGTGTTATGAATTGAGTATCGCTCAAAGCCGGTAATAGGGGGCGTGAGGGATGTTGCACGTATTCATTATCCCTTATGTACAGACTCATTCAAACCGAGTCTGCAATTCTCTTGTAATTTTGTTGTGATTAATGCTTCCGAGGGATCACTTTGTTTCCAGATTTTTAACCACGTTAGGGAAAAGTCAATGTTTCCATCAGCAAGAAAATTTTCATCAATTGCATAGAATTTGTTGATTCCAGAAACGGTTTTGAGAGTTTGTCAAAACGCTTATAACTGCCATCAACGTTGAACTTAAACAAAGTTGTGTCAACTTAAACGATTGAAATAGTTTTACAGATAAGATTACTGACAGTCCTACCTAGTTGCGAAACTAAATATTTTTTAAAGATTCTTAAAGTTTCAAAAAAAATAATCAAATTGTTTAACATAAAATATGCTGGTTTTTTGTTTCAGCAAGAAGAGGGAACACATTGCTGAAGAACGATCTAGCACGGGACAGTTCAGAGTACTCGGTCAATATGAGGGTAGGTTATAGTAACTGTTGTATTTAAAAAGAAAGTTTAAAGAAGTCAAAATGAGTTTATCTTTTGATGTAAAGGATAGGCCACGTCAACCACGTTAATCAATTTTATGATTATATTTTTTTATAAATTTTTATAATATTAGTTTGTTTGTTTTGTTTGGTTTTGCCAAAGAAAACCTTTGTAAGAACATTTTTGCACTGTGGCAGTCTGATAAATACTATTATCTAGTTAAGCAATCACAAACTGATTCTTACATTTCATGGACGTCTTAAGCTCTGATCCCCTCTTCAATTTCTATTTTGTATAGATTCGCCCATTGTTTTCTCGTTTAGGGTACACGCGTTCTTTTGCTTGAAGACCATACTCCGCTTTTTGTGGAATGGTATAGATAGATAGATTCTTTATTTCCTCCAATTATGAAGAGAACATACAATATATACAAAATTACATCATGTACAATAATTTCTTGACACTAATAAATTAGGTTAACAACAAGAGATATTATACAAAATAACACGGTGAATATTACAATATTACAAGCATATATATACATACATATACACACACACACACATATATATATATATATATATAATATATATATATATATATATATATATATATATATATATACATATATATATATATATATATATATGTATGTATATATATATATATATATATATATATATATATATACACATACATACACATACATATATTGTTATGCAAAGTTTTCAAGTTTATCCATAAAGAAAACCAGTCTTGTCCGAAAACGAAAAAGACAAGAAATGGTTGATGGATATTACCAACGGTACAAAATTACTATTGTTATTAGTCATTGCCACTCAAATTATTTAAGAAACCAGACAGTCATGTCAAAATAAAAATAGCACTACTGTGTCACATTAAAGATTCAATGATAACCGCCGTATGAACGCATCTGCGTTGTAACTTAATTCAAAAGTTCATGTTTTTCATGTATAATGTTGAGTTCTTCTTAAACCGGTGCTAGGGGGGGGGGCATGGACGGTAGTTTTCACTTGACAGTACCGTTCATAAACAGGCTCAGTCAAACCAAGCCTGCAACATTTTCAATTTCGTTGTTTTGGACTTTATTTAGGGATTCTTATTTTCTCTATATCAACACAATTTTGTTACTATTTTTTCAGAAGCAGTTAACTTACAATGAAGAAGAATATTCGGTCGTCGGCGATCGATTCAGGAGAAGACGGGAACATTTACAATCTCAGTGTAATAGTATGCAAGGTTATTTTGAGATTCAAAACTCTGAAAATGCCGTCAAAGAACATTTAACTATAGACAAGAAGAACAATTTGGTCTATTGTGCAATTGAAAAGATCGGGTGTACCTTTTGGAAAAGGGTATTTCAGATCATCAGTGGTTTTAGAAACGTGACAGATCCATTTCAAATTCAGGGTATTCGTGCATACGAGGGCTATCTTACGGCCAAAGGTATGCCATTTGATAGAATACATTACATACTCAAACATTCAACGAAATTCATGTTTGTAAGGGAACCATACGAGCGCCTGTTGTCCGGCTACGTTGATAAACTGTTCGCTCCAAACGCCGCTTATTGGTCTTTCATTGGTACTTTCATAGTGCAGCAGTTCAGACAAAACGGAACGACACGTGAACAGCGATGTGGTGATGACGTCACATTTGAGGAGTTTGTGCGATATTTTATTCATTCTCAGCATAACAATATGAGGCGTGACGCACATTTTGTGCCAAATTTTGAGCATTGTCGGCCATGTGAAATAGACTATGAATACGTAGGTAAGCTCGAAACATTTGAAGAAGATACATTATACCTGTTGAAGAAACTTAATCTGGATGATAAAGTTAAATTTAATAACTTCGAACGAGAAACAGAAAGGGACGCCATTATTGATGCCGCAGACTATGTTTTTTCTATGCAAAGGGCAATTAATCGTTGTATGACAATGCACGAGGCTTTATTTCGTGCTTACAGAAAGTTACAAATTCGGGGAATAATCAGTAAGCATGTTCCGTTTCCATTTGCAAAGGTCACAAATAGGGAGATCGGAATAAATGAATATAAACAAGCGCTTTTAGCGGCGCATGAAGAATCAGGACCATCTTCAAGCCGGAAGACAAACAGAAAAGAAGCCTTTTTGGAGGCCTACTCAAAACTACCTCAGGACCTAATGATGAAATTAAAAGAAGATCTAAGTATTGATGCAAACTTATTCGGCTATGAAACTTATCCAGAGAGTCTTAAGAATCGAGAGGCATATAAAAGTGATTTCCAGTATTTTCAGATAAAGCAATAAAAGAAAAATGCCTATTGTATCAATAGTTTACATGTAACTAATTTTTGTAATAATGATAAGATGAAGAAAAAGAATGATGTTTTGTCAAACTTTGTTAATGGAGCTTGTAATACCGGTAACTTGCGTGTTATTGACAGCAATAACTGTGCGGACCTCGGATTTCTAAACCTTGGGAACAGCATCAGTTTTGTAACAATTTGGTGCCCTCACCATTGCAGGTGATTGTACTGTCTACAATAAGTTACCACAATTATATAAATACGTGTGTAAGTGATTGTGCTTTTCTTATAACAATTCAAATAATTGATCAAGAAAACTACAATATAAAGTGACATTGTCACGACACTTTTGTTAACAAGTATTGTTTTGACAGTATTGATGAAGTAAAGAATCAGAAATTCGTAATTAAAGCAAGAATCTGATTCGGTAATCGTTTTATACATTTCATGTTATATCTTAGTATATTTTATGGGAAATGTAACATATGTTTTTATAATTTGTTTTTTTTTCTTTGTCGATCCTCATACTTATTTATTTTATGTGAAGGTCTATATGGTGAGTACGGATAAATACCGAGATGAGATTTGTTGAGGGTCAAATGTTCCGCGTCACGACAAAAACAAACATAATGGGTTTGCGACCAGCATGGATCCAGACCAGCCTGCGCATCCAGTCTGATCAGGATCCATGCTGTTCGCTTACCAACCCTATTACAGATAGCGAACGGCATGGATCCTAATCAGACTGCGCGGATGCGCAGGCTGGTCTGGATCCATGCTGGTCGCAAACTCATTATGTTGGTTTTGTCGAGACGCAACTCAAATGTTCTCTTTTTTCAGGCATAATTTTATTCCTGTCTTTATAACTACTTAATTTTTCATTTTCTTTCCAAATAAGCGTTGTGTAGTAATGTATTTACTTGTCCGTCTTGATGTTTTACATTTCATATGCTATTCTTATTCGCACGTTTCTAGTTTGTTGCAGGGATGTGGTCGATCATATTTAATTTAATTGCAGTCTCTTTAGTTTGATCAATCAAATATTCGTGAATTAAAGTGATTGGTTAATTGTTTTCTCTGGTCATTATTATTTCAAACGACTAAAGAAGGTAACTGTGTTTGTAAATCATTTATGAAAGAAATGCCAACATGTGAAGTGTGCATTTTCTGGCTATTTTAGAAGCGCTAGAAATACCATAAAGACAAATGTTAAAAAGCCGGAGAAAAGAGCAATTTGACTTAAGTTAAGATCTTCTTATGTTGACATAGCGTATAGTTATTATAAGAAAATTGATTCCATGTTACTGTAGAATATGTTATAAACGATTAATAATGTTAATAATGTTTATTTCATCTATATAATCAACTTTGATTTTGTTATACAAAAATTAAATATGTTATGAAATCTTGAAAAAAGTTAGAGTTTGAATAATTTTGGCCGCTTAAGTTAAATTTTATCGACTTAAAGAGCAGTGAACGTGTTATATGTAACCAAAACACGCAAATTAAACACTTGTTACAACTTTAAGCAAATGTTCCTTTAACCTATCCTTTAAAGTAAGCACAAAGTACTAAGCGACCCTTTAACGTAAACACAAAGCATTTGACTTACACTTGCTAAATAACATAAGTTTTGTATCAATTAGTATTGTGCAGTAGGTATAAATACAACTTCCGAAACATCGATCAAATGATTACCGCATCACCATTTCAATCAATCAACTGATGACTAGAAGTAGAAGAAGTTGGCAACTCAAAATCTGTAAGAAAATGCAGAAAGGCAGTAGGTAATTACAGCTAAGCAAAGCAAAATGAGAAAGAGCAAGGAATCGCCAAGTACTGGGGCGAACTGCCCAGTGAACACAACGACTGGTGACCCTATGATATCTCTTCACCGCATATTGTTAAGTTTGCAACAAAACTGATGGTACGCCCGTCCTTTGAGTGTGTAAGGATCCAGTCTATCCATTATCCAGCACATGGGTACGTTCTTCCATCATAAACAAAATTAACATGCTTATTTTTTTTTATAAAACCAGAGTATAGGTGATGTATTATTTTACAATTGGGATAATTTTCAAAAATATCTGTCATGTATTGTGAAAACGACGTGTAGTTTTGATAAATCTTTGAACTTTAACGGCAGTTAAGTCTTAATAATATTTTATGCCACATACTTATGCCGTTGCTGCCACTTGAATAGGCCCCAACATTACAATATCCATGAATATGCGTAACAATATTATGTGCGATTCAGTTGAATAGGCCAGGGTAAATCAAAGCAGGCCACAGTCTTTATATGTATAAATTCCATTTCATAGAAATACTAAAATACGCGTTTTATTGGAAATACTATAAAACTCGTCCTACGAGAATACAATCTGCCCGTAGCAGTTACTTCCCCTGATAAGGACAGTAACAAAGTGCGCATGATTAGTTGATACTTTATTAATGACAGGCTCCCCCAACCCACCAAACCTCAATAAAAGAATTTTTTTCCCAAATTTTCTTCTTTTTGTACATATCATTACTTTAAAGTACTTTGATTATACACTTTGTGTTTTTTTTCTTCAATTTTTACGTCTCACAAGTACAGTTTAGCTCATACGGCGCCGAAGCAGAAAGGTAAGTTTGGCTAACCATGGGTGTTACAAACTTTAATGCGGCCCCATGGTTCAAAACCACATTATCTGCTGGAGCTATGAGATGCATAGACTCCGGTTATTTGAACACAGTTTAATTAAGTCGCCTCTAATTATCACACAGGGATAAACGGTTGCTGCAATTCTGATTGACGTCTCAACCCTTTAAGGCAACCCCTTATCTACAAGGAGCTTTATTTAACAAAACATAGTTTTGCTCAAATATTTTTTATGTGCTTACTAATGATTTGCTTAGAAATTTGCTCGATTTATTTTTTCTCTGGCAGTTTTTTATCAAAAAAGTATAAAGCTACTCAACTAAGTTGCTTAAAACATGTAGTTATAAATCCTACATGAGCTCATTAAGGATAAGAAGTAAATAATCAAAGCATAGAAAGCGCTGAATTATGTTTTTTTTTTGTTTTTTTTTTCCTTGCGTTAGTGTACTTATAAAGGGAAGTAACTGCTTCGAGATGTTTGGACTACTTGCTAATAAGCAGATTAGAGTCTGAAATTTAGCACCGAAACAAATAAAAACCAATCGAGTAGAATAGCATTTTTCCGTAACATGTAACTACAGGTTTTAATTAATTATTTCATGCATAGAAAAATATAGTAGGAAAACATCTTACAGTTAAGTAAGTTGTGTTATTGTGCATTACTTATAAATTTTCTGATTTATTTGATTGATAACCTTGTCCAGGCATGCCCTGAGACAACGCTAACATTGACATTTAGGTTCAATTAAATAAGTTATGAAACACAGTTTCTTTTTATCTATATAATTTCTATTTATTTTGTTGAATATATGAGTGTGGGTTCAATACTGAATGTATTGAACAAGTTGAATAGAATTATATGCGAGTTCTAAAGAAATAAACTCAGTTATCAACCTGCCGAATATAACATTTTATTTATCACATGCACAAAATAAAAACTGTTTTATATAGAATCATTTTTACATTGACAACGCTAACATTTAGCGCGTCTTTGCACTTTGTTTGTATTACGCAAATGACAACATTTCAAAATATATGCTCGGTCGTGCAATACCATATTTACGGAGTCACAAAATCGGCACGGATATGTGTTCAAATAATTTATTTCATGTTCCTAAAAGATAATTTTATTTAAATTGAGCTCTAAATTCCACATTTGTTTAAGCATGAAAATAAAGAAAGCAGCAATTAAATATAAATTCACAGTTTGTATACAAATTCATTGTCCCCCTTCCACTATCACCATCACTTGTTTGTTCTAAAATCCATACTATTATGTACATGTATATTGTCCTATTGTGTTAAGTTTCTTGTATACATAGAATTCATTTTTCAATTTAATTTAGCTGTCTCCTGTTTGTGTTAAAATACTGATAATTTATGGGTTTCGATTTATAGATAAATATTTTAGGATTTGATTCATATCCGAATAATGCTGCATCAACACTTAGTATGTTTTGTAATTCTTGAAATAAATCTTGTGGAAGAGAATTATACGCTTCTAAAAATGCTTCTTTTCTATTTAATTTGCGTTTCTCTCGTGGTCCGGAGTCGGCGTTAGCTTTTAGCAAGGCTTTCGTATACTCATCAATTTCAATTGTCGATACATTTGAAAACGGGTATGGTATATCCTTGCTGATGATTCCCCTTATTTGCATCTTCTTGTATGTCTTGTATAGGACTTTATCTTTTGTTGTGCAGTTATCAACATTCTTATCAACATAAAAACCCCAATTGACGGCGTTTATGATGGAATCACGCTCCGTTTCTGAGTCAAAATCCTTAATTTTTATTGTTTCTGACAGATTCAGCTTTTCCAATAAAAACAAAGTTTCGTCTTTGAAATTTTCCATTCTGGCAACATAGTCGTATTTAATTTCACATGGTCTACAGAATTCGTAATTTGAAGAAAAGTGAACATCTGATCTGATGCCGGTTTTCAAAGAGTATATATAATATCGGATGAATTCTTCAAATGTGACGTCATCGCCACAGGATAATGCTCCAGACGTGCTGTTTTGTCTGAATTTGTCGACTATGAACCTTCCTAAGTCAAACCAATATGGCGCGTAAGGTAAAAACAGTTTGTCCACGTATCCTGACAAAAGACGCTCGTAAGGATCCCGGACAAACATAAACTTTGTTGAAGAAGTAAGAGCTTTGTGAATTGTATCAAAAGGCATGTTTTCAGCAGTTTGGTAACCACCATATGCATCCATAGCTTGTGTATCAAACGGATCCGAAACATTTTTAAAGCCATTCAATATTTGAAACACTCTCTTCCAAAATGTGCAGCCGTTCTTTTCAATGAAGCAGTAAACTAGCTTGTGTTTATTGTCGATGATAAGATGACTTTTAATTGCAAATTCTGTGGTCTTTCCTATATGAGATATGTTATCACATCTGTCTTCGATTTTTTGTCTACGCTCAGAAAACAACCTTTCATTAGGATTTCCCGATTGTATGCTCTTATCCTAAAGAGAAAAAAATCATACCGTTTACGTATCAATCGATGCAATTCCACACGCTAACATGAGATAAATAATAAACAAATTAGTTTACATAATTGAATGGTTGATTTAAAAAACAATGAAGTCGGACCAAGTGTTATAGAAACATATTGTTACAAAACATTAAATATCTTTTGGAATGACAAAAAAACTTGAATTTACTTCAGAGTGACTCATAAAACAAATAGATAACGGATGTTACAACCGCAACGTAGATGTTATGTTTTGATACAATAAAAATAAGTGCAAATTATTTAAATGACCTGTGCTTCTTTTGTGCTCTGAGTGGTAAATCAAGCGTATAACTAAAACAAAATCTCAAAAAAGCACTTTATTTTTCTTTGAAAAAGAGTTCCCTATTAAATCACATTAAACAATCAGAAAATATAACATCGGCATTAATCATAACCAAATTTTATATTTTAAAATAATGGTTAACTAAAATGTTAAACCTACAATTAAGTTGTTGAAAATCCCGACACTTACAGAGTATGTTATATGCGGTGTTTCTCTGTGGACACCAAAGTTATCCTTGCAAAAAAGCTCATCAGTTGTCCTTACTGGAATAGAAATAGTGGACTTTATGTATGTCTATGATGTAGACATATTCACAAGGACGTGACACAGTGTTGGGAAAGAGTAAACAGTAAGTCTCGAAAAAAAACATATTCTGTATAATTATGCAACATAAAGCAAGGGGTTGAGCACGCCAACTCGGCCGATTGTCACTAGCCCAGTATAAGACAAAATTGTAATCTAGGTAATAAAATTTATTGTATCTAATCCCGGTGCAAAGTGACATGGATGGTAGCTTGCAGTGACTACAGTCATCTACAAAGAAGCTCAATCAAATCGGCATTGTACTATTTATCCATTGCTCTAAGATCTTTTAGGAGGTTGATTAATGTTTCCTTTTCACTACCAAATCTTATCAATGTCAATCGAGATTGACAAAAACCAATTCGTACCAGTATCCAATACTCATCACTTTAAGCATTGAAAACCAATGCTCCAAACGAAAATTTAAATTTAAACCATTTGAAATTGAAGAACTTAGTTAAAGTACGACAGCTTACACACATCACGTAACATTTGCTGCTAGAAATCTTGGACAGTTGATCCTTTTGAAAACTGTTATATTAGCCAACTTGCTGAATAGCAGACTCAATGTTATCGTATCTTATTCTTTACACTAATAGTATTGGAAACAAATGATCCAACAAAAAACTAGTTAAATTCAAACCACTGAAATTGACAAAAGTTGCAAAAGTATTACATCTTCCACACAGCACTTTAAACTTGCTGCTAGAAATTCTGGAATAGAATATAAACACGATCACAGTTTATCCGTTTGAAAACAAAACAATTATTTTAATATCTAAAATCGCAAACGTTACAACGTTATAAACATTATGCAATTACAATTGATATCATTTATAAGATTTAACTCTTTGATACTATTTTATCATAATTCTGGTTATCAAATATTGTTTATTTGATTTGCAGCATAGAATCATTGATTAATGGTGTACATAGGTGCAAAACTGTGTGTATATGTTCAAAAATGCAAAAATGCAAAACTTACCATTGAGATAAACTAGTACAACCAGGGCTAATCCTAGTGACAAAATAAAACATCTTCTTCTCATCCTTTCTTTAAATCTTAAAAATATGTTCATATTTATTTTAATGGTTCATTGCTCGGCTTAAATTAATAGTTACATAATTATGCCTTAACTCTACACCGTTATTTATTAAAAAAAAATGATGAAGATTAGTCAAGACATAAAGTACTTGTTGCTCTCTGCTAACAAAGCGATAAACAGACGATATACGATTTAAATATTATTAATTGTTTGTTAATGACACGTGTCACTTCAGCTAGAAATATATCCGGTATCAACTAATATTTACCTAACTGCAACAGATGCCGGTTATTATGATATTGATACTGAAATTTTACTTGGTTGATAAAACAAAATATAGACGAGTAATATGTTCAAATAAAGCTTCTATTAAATCAATTAATGGATCATTTCTTGTATAGTAGCTGTCCAATGCCTCCCTTTGCAATCTTAAACATTCGCTTGATTGTCTTTGTGTGCATAGGAACTGACGTTCTTTTGACATGACGGGACTGGGATCTTTTTTTTCGAGATTAATGTTCCATTTCATAGACCAATAACCTTTGTGCAAAAATTCAGATAATTCACTCACATTTTTTTTCCAGAATAATTGTCCTGATTGTAACAAATGACCCAAAATTGAAAGTCATTGCAAAGTTTTTATTGAAAGGCATAAAACTTAATTTATTGCAAAATAAATGTTTTTATGGTCACTTACAAGCTTGATGGTGGGTTTCATTAGGTCTTTAGTCATAGGTCGAAATATATTGGGTTCGAAAAAGCCGTACTAGTAAGTACACTAAGGTTATCGTTATGAGTAAGTACAATGTGATAATTGATGCTGATTAAGTCCGCCATTTTAGAAGAAGAAATAATTCATAACAATTTTCAATAACCCACCATCCCACCCACATTCAGTATTCAATTTTTGACAAGCTTATAAACATCAAAAAGGTTTTGTGTTTGTTTATAATTTTATATACAAATGATTTTTCTTTTCACTTCAAGATATGTGTGTATATTAATTTCATACACAGTTTTAGGCAAGGCAATATTCTTAGAACCCAACCTTTGATAATTTTTCGGGATATGTGTGTATATAATTTTATATACATTTTTCAGAAATGTTTGCTTGCTTTGTATACAATGTTATGTTATATTATAACTTTCATATCAGCATTGTTTTATATGTTTATATGTCATTTATTATTAAATGGCCATTTCACAATTTTATGTTAGTTTGATAACTTTCATATCAACATTGTATTATATGTTTTTCCGTCATTTATTATTAAATGGCCATTTCAATTTCAAAGTGTAGTTGTTATTCTTGAAAATTATCAAACAGAGAAAACTTCTTCAGGCAAAGATACAACAAATTGAAATGTTGACATAAAATACCATTTTCATTTTACTTACGCTGAAGGATCTTAGAAGTTTTTATCTTATTTATTTAAAATGTCGACATTTATCTTAAACAGTATTAACATGAGTTTGTGTTGTTGTTGATGTTTTTATTATTTGTGTCTTTTTTATCTGTTTTTTACTTTCATTTTTATTTAGTTATTATTTTTTTATTTATTTATTGTTTCTTTCTGTTTTCTGAACAATATGCCATGGCATTCAACAAAAATAGATTTTGAAAAAAAAAAAAAGAAAAAAAAAGAAAAAAAAACGATGCACACATTTTCCATTAGTATTTCAAATGTTGATAAAAGCAGTAGAAATGTATCATTTGGATATTTTTATGATTTATTACTTCAAACAAAATTTAGATTAGGTGATGTAGAATGAGCATTTATATGATTAATACTAATATTCTGTTCTAGAACTATTTGTTATATGCTATATAAATACATGTCATCTAGGAGAGTGTATATCACATTTGCCAACAATAGCCATAGATCTTAAACAGTATTAACATGAGTTTTTGTTGTCGTTGATGTTTTTATTATTTGTGTCTTTTTTTATCTAGTTTTTCTTTCATTTTTATTTAGTTATTATTCTTTTATTTATTTATTTTTATTTTTTTAATATTTCGCTAATGTTCATTTTGGATGTTGAAGGCTTATGAAATATTTCCTTAACAACTGCAATGGCTTGAAATTTATCTAGATTTGTTTACATTGATTAGAATGATACCAATTTTTAAGACAAATACTTTCTTGTAAGTTCTTTAAAATATTTAGTATCGAAAAATAAGGTGTTATATTATGTATATTTATATAATGTGCATTTATGTACAAAAAGATGACATCCGGGGCAAAATGGCTACGGTTGTCGACGCCAAAAGACTTGCCTCTTACCAATGTAGCGTCTCGGATTCTTTATGTAAGAAAACTGTCTAGTTAGCTTACAGAACGTTGGTGATTTTACTCAGGTGACTGTTTGTGCCTGAAATTTTGTAAAAATAGGTGCCTGAGGTCTTCCCCCTCCAGTAAAGCTGGAAAGACGACTATATGGCATATACTGTTTTAGTGCGATGTAAAACCAAATAAAATAAGAAATATAATTATGTTATGATGATAATAAACACAATATGGCCTTTCATGAATCCTTGCGGTGACTCCTTTATATAAACTAGCCCATGTGCTAGATGATTGCTATTTTCTTTATTTTCCATTTTCTATTTGATTGATTAGACTGCATGAGGCTGGCTGCAGGTCCAGATATTAAACATATTCTATTAAATTGTCTAAAAGAGTGACATGTGACAGGCAATCAAAGGCCTTTTCAAAAAACTATATAGATATAAATCACATCTTCATTGTCAATCATTAAGCAGTCTTGATTGTGTTATTTGGCAACAATTACTTTTTTAAATCATATATTATGTGCATGTAGTTATTACATATTTTGTTAATATAACCCCATAACTGTTCAATTTTTGTAGGTGTTTAGATGGAATCGGTAATAAACATACTGACCTATAGTTCTCGCCCGGCAAACTGTCGCTCCACTTCAAAATTGTGGTGTACGGTAAAACGAGCGAACGGTATTTCCAAGATAGAGTGGAAGGCCGAATTAAACGGATATTTGTAAGTGTTGTTTTGTCTTGTGTTCTTTTAAACTGTATTTTTTTCGAAAAACGGAAAATGTAGTTGCGTGTAGGATTGATTTAGGCTCTTCAAATGATCAAAGCTGTAACAAAAAGAAAATTATATCAAGCCTTGGAGAGCTTTTCCGCCTGACGAAGTGAACGACGATTTGTTTAATAACAAACTTCAAACCATGAAAACGCTCTTCACTTAGGATTTTTTGAAAAGTGATTTACACAAATATTAACCCGTAACAAGAGCTAGTCTTTCGTGCAAAATAACCTACTCTTGGTGCATTGTTGTTTAGTTAACCATTTTCCTCTCAAAGTATAAATGAAAATGTTCGCTCTTTTAATCAAACACTGCATAGTACAAATCTTTATTAATTAAAAAAATAAGGAAAGAACTATCTGTAAAATTGTGTTCGTTTATTCAAAATATCTGCGTAGTACAGAATAAATTGGGGGATTTTCTTAAAACACGAACGATAAAAAGATTAATAAAACTGTAATTCATTGGGTTTTTATATGTATATGCTAGCAATAGTATTTTTTATCAACCATCAACACATTAAAGATGGAGACAATATAACCATAATTTATATAAAGACTCAATAATAACAAACAAATACACGAACAAAACTAACAATATTTTTCATTTATATACTCTATTGTTGTGGTAATTTTCAACCAATGACCAAGAGGCGATGTTTATAAGATATGCTAGTAAGTGTTGGTACATGGTGCGGAAGCAGGACTAAACGTAAATGTCATCATTGTATAATATGTACTTAATTGAGTGGGATTTGCATGAAATCTTGAGTGTTAGAATTATACAAAGGTCGCCATTTGAATTCACAATAACTTATGTGTTGATAAGGTAGAAGAATAGAATTGTTCTTGGGGCTTATCCATTGGTAGCAACATTTCGTTTGATGTTCCATCTATTGCGTCAACGCCGGGACACAGTTTATCCCAGCCGCCACGTTTACTAAACCATTTTATTCCCCGCAGGGTATTGGTACGCGTTTAACTTTTGAGGCATGGAGGAGCACGTGACCTGTTTTCGGTACATGGAAGAGCATGTGATCTGTAAACCGTACATGATTGGTAAATTGACCTTTTCGAAAACCTGGCTAAATACCGTTTGCCGGTACGTTACGGATAATCCTCTAGGGAAGTAGTCAGAATTACACCTAATTAATAACAAAAAAACTATTACGTGATATCTTTAATTTTCTATAATTATAATATCGTTTAAGGTGGAAAAAACTTGAATGATGTGTTTGAAAATGATCAATGTTTTTAATATGTATCTCAAAATGTTACAAACAATAAATTGTTTACACTGAAAATCTACAAAATTAAAATATTCGTAGTGGCATCTGCCATAATAAATAGAGATGTTTTCTGCGAAAACTTGTGTGTTTGCCTTTTTTTTTGCTCGGAATTATTCATAAAATGGTAGGCCTATTTATTCATTTTCTTAAAAAGAAATAACTGTTTTATGTTCGACCTTCTCCGGTCATTAACGGTCACCAGTTTCCAAAGACCTTCTTCTATATTGATCGATTATTGTCAACTATATTCCTGATACAAACGTTTATTTATCCACCCACCCAAACAATGTTGAAGATAGTTAAATGAAATATCTTTATATCATCAAAAATGTTCCCGCAGGAAACCATTTTACTTGTCTATGGTTGGCCAAGTGATATAATTTACAATTGTTGTGTAGAATGCACGTATAAATGTGCGAATTTAATTATGTACATATGCGGTCCACACATTGAATATGGTGGCAAGTGTTACAAGTCAAGGTTTGGTTACAACGTATCCATTTCACGAATAATAAAATTATATTTATTAGAGACAGTTTGTTGCGACTCAAATGTCTTAGTTTATGATATGTAACATATGTCTTCATTTATCTGATGCTTTACAGGTTAGGTTATAGAAATTGTACATATTTTCTTTCGGAATATATAATCAAATCACTTTGAAAATAAACTGTCGCGAATATCTAGTACAGAGTCATTACGGCAACTTAACATAACCGTGCACGGCTGATATATTCTGAAGGGATTTAACTAAAGCAGGAAGTGATGCTAAAAGAAGCTTTCGCCTGCTAGTGTTCATTCTGGAAATCTGAATGCAATGTAAACAGTAAAGTGTTAGCGAATAGAAGCAATATTGTTGTCTAACATTACAAAAAGTTTAACGACACACGTATGGACAGGTTTTCCCACTCAAAGGTATTATTGTAAGAAAATCGGCAACTTTTGAGGACCTAGGGTTTAATGTTAGCCGGTATAGCATATGTACCATTATTGTATAATTCTAACGCTCGAGAATTTCGTGCAATTCCACACTGAAGTGTTACTGCATTTTATACATACTTTAGTCACAGAGATATTTATACAAATATACATACGACGATAATGTTGGGGGAGGTGATAGAGGTCCGCAGCCCACACACAGTTAACGTCCGAAAGAATTACAGGTTTATAACAATAACGATAGGGCCTAGTTCAGCACCCAGTGCCGACTGTTTCGAATGTTGCAGTAGGTCAGCGTATCGACCGGCTCATCACAGGAGAAAATCAGGCTCTCTACAAGATACCCCCACCCCTCAAAAAAATAATAATGAATAAATAAATAAATATTAAAAAAAACTTCTCTGTAAACTTGACATCAGCAGTGACAGCAGTGATGACATTTACCATTAGCCATGCTTTCTCAAGACTCAAAACTTTATAGCATTTGATCTTTGGTTGAAAAAATAACACTACAATAAAGTCTATGAATTACGAAACTTTTATTGTTTGTTGTTTTGTATTTATATAAATTATGGTTGTATTATCTCCATCATTAAAATGCTGAAATCGCTGCATCACAGTTTAGCGTAAAGCTCATTTTATCTTATTTCCGCGCAATTATAATTTGAGAAAAGCCCCCAAATTATTCCGTATTAAAAATTGCGTTTTCGAATAAAATAAAGAGAAATAAGAATCCCTAAAGAAAGCCCGACACGGCAAAATTGAAAATTGAAGTCCATTTAAGATGGACGGGTTGATATTTTCCTAAATCAATTTTTTTTTCAAGAAACCCAAGGGCCTGGCATTTTAATGGTTGGGAAGTTAAATATTCTACAAATCGTCGTTCGCTTCGTCAGGGAGCTAAATAAAAAAAAATGTAACAGCTTAGATCATTTAAAGCCTAAAATAGTCCTACACGGAACTACATTTTCCGTTTTTCGAAAAAATATAATTTAAATGAATAACAAAACAAAAACATAAACAACACTTACAATTATCTGTTTATCTCGGAAATGCCGTTCGCTCAGGTTAAATACCGTTCAACACAATATTCCAGTGAAGCTAATGTTTGCCGGGCGTGATAGTTGTTTAATCTTTTATTATTTATAATTAATAAATAATCTAGTGGTATTATAAATTTAATCTGTAATTGCGAATTTTTGTTATCAGTTGCGTGTTAATCAATCAGTAAAAAGGCATTGATGTGACATCACGCTATGAATTTGCGAATGATACCGTTGAATGTCTTCGTCATACGAAATAAATAATAAAAAAGACTTACAAGAAGATTTTCTTGGGTAAATATTACAGCTTTTTTAATCTTTGCACCCTGAAAGACTGCGAAATCAATTTCGCCCTCGAAAAATTTATCACAGTAGTGAAATAGTGGTTGAATGCACATGACAAAACTATTTGATTAGAAATTTAGGACTGTTCCTTATTTTACCATTCATTATTTATTTGATGAGAAACTTGCATAACATGTAGACTGTTATTGAACGTGTGTAATTCAACATATGACGTTCCCTGTTTACCTTTGGGCTGTACCAATACTTGCCAACATATGTTTTCGACCTTCTCTATAATTAATACTATTTAATCACTTTATTACAGATTTTGCTTTACAACTGCAATGCTTATCAATCATGGAACACTTTAAAGCGTAATTAATAGATTTACACTTCATTTAAAATGATAAATAACATTAAGTGATCAATGGTTAAAATAAAAAATAAATAAATAAAAATTCCAACAACCACAAAAACGACAAACCGGTTTGCGATCTGTTTAATGAAGATCATATTACACCGTATTATAAAATGGATAGACAACCGTTTGATGAAACGCGTCGACAGCTTACTTAGTATATACATGTTGGTATAAAAACACAATTGACAGACGGTTAGAATGTATCTATTTTAAACACATTACAACTCTTTTTGATTCATTTCGTTAGCATGAGGTCCATTAGAAAGTACCATGAACTTGTGTATTAAAAATGAACTCTTCACTAGTTACTATAGCACAAAGCCATGCATGTGTTTCGTTGAACGGTTTTCAGCGTTTTTCTTTGTCGCTGATAAGTGGATGTTGATGTTATCATTAAATAGAGGCGAACGGTTGATGATGTTCCTCAAATTTTGAAGACATTCAAACTTAAATAGCCTTTATTTTTAAAAGAAAAGCATTTTTGACGGTATTGGTTTAGAGTATTAAATGACAAAATGTTGACGTTTATGAATCTTATCTTAAAATGGTTTGTTATCATGAGAAGACGTACTAAGTTTTTGAGACTTTTTTTAAATGCCGTATCTCATCGGATAGGGTGGTTATTTTCAATCAAAATTCACGTAAAATAAAGCTTGCACAGGGTCAGAAATATGTAAGCAGGCTCTTTTAGATGTTGACTCTGAATCCATAGCATTGTTTTACTCGATTATGATAACGATAAATAAATATTTACCGTCCGTCAATTATTTTTCCAACATAGTCACTTTAAAGGAACAATTGATAATAAATGCAACATATATGTTTAACTTATTTTATTTATGGTTGGCATAAAATTTCCGTCATGACTGGTCATTAAGTAACATAAAGTTAATAGAGTTTGAACCTCTATATAAAATAGAATATTATAAAATAGGTTTTGCTTCGTCATCGATTGCAAAAACCTGTAATTTTATGTTAGATTTTCGCCATATCGACGGCTGAATAAGAGCATTAAATATTCCAGACAATCTGTTATAGAATAATATTAACAATTACATGTATATCAATTATAATATTATATGACTAATACTCGTATCCCAACAGTCGGAAGTGACATTTTATATATTGTTTATATATGCTTCGGTAGCTTAATATGTTTATTCAGATATAATCAATTAAAATTATGTTTCGAAAAAGAGACAATGTGCTGACAATGCCAGATATGATAAACACTTGATATCCGAAGCTTATAAAATATATTTTATAAATATTATCAATAAAAATTAGTTAAATTTTGAGAAGACTGATACAGCCATTTGTATATATAAATACATTTATCAAGCATATCACGATCAAAACTGCCATAGAATGTCTAGGACATTCCAAACCAGAACAATTACTCAACAGGTTTGATCGTACATTCGTCTTAGGAATACTGGCCGCCTACGTAAAACCCCTTTTTTAAGAGGAACCGTAGCATCCGTTGGCATGCACGGAGGAAACCTCCTCAGACTATTCCTCGGAATATAGAACAACGGACCTGCTCAGATATGCCAGTAAACATATAAAATACAAAATACATACAGCTCAATAAAGAGTAACGTTCTTTATAAGAAAAATATTATTTTAATTAAATAGTAGTGTGATATATAATGTAAGTAAACTTGCTTGAAACCATGGATATACCAATGTAATGATATGATAATAACCATTATATCAATACTTTTTTAAAGACAATATGTGTTTTATTTACACATAGGTTAAGTTAATTAACAGTGTTTTGTTTTGTACCGACATCGGTTACAGGTTATCTAATGACTATTCTACAAATATCCGAAAGTCAGTTGCATCCCACAGGTGTTCGAAATGTTTATGCTTATGTACTGGCCAGTTAAATGTATGTTTTGAACCGACGTCGGATTCAAATGACAGGGGTCTGGCAGTCGACGTTGGTAAATTTCCGGATGTCGCAAAACAAATATTGACTGTTGAAATGATAATTCCAGCCATGACGAAGAAGGGCTAAGTATCGCGGCGGTCATTATTACCTGAAAACAGAAAAAAGAGACAACAGCAAAGCAAATGGGAAGGGCGGGTGGGTATTTTTCCGTGTTAGTTCACGGCAGCTTCTGGAGCTCGGAGACTGGATCGAAAAGGAATTTGCAGAAGCGTGCTCGGTTTATATACCCAGTCTACTAAGCATGCGCGAACGAGATTGAATGACTTGTTAGGAGGAGGAGCCAAATATACAGGTCATTGCAAAAATACTGTGACGTATAGTGTAAAAATAAAGAGTTTAAACTCAAGCGCTTAAACTGAATATTATTTTTCCAACATAGTCACTTTAAAGGAACAATTGATAATAAATGCAACATATATGTTTAACTTATTTTATTTATGGTTGGCATAAAATTTCCGTCATGACTGGTCATTAAGTAACATAAAGTTAATAGAGTTTGAACCTCTATATAAAATAGAATATTATAAAATAGGTTTTGCTTCGTCATCGATTGCAAAAACCTGTAATTTTATGTTAGATTTTCGCCAAAAGGGTCTAGAAGAATTGAGAGAGCCTTCCGCCAACAGCGGGCTAACATAAACCAAAATAAATGACTCAGTCATGACGATTTAATTGCAGATACTGGTGTGTTTAAGCATACACCACGAACGAAATTTAATTAATTAACGTAGTATTGTGACCAGACAGGAGTTAATGGCACCATGTACTCAAAAAGATCATGGGGCTTTAAGACTTTATCAACAATCCCTATTTCTAATAAAGTTTGTACTATTTTGTATGTCACTATAGATACGTTCCACCAAAGAGAACAGCCATATATCTATAAGAATGTCGCAAACAAATCTGAGACTGAATTAATTAAGTGCTTGGAAAGATGTTGCACAACCATAGGAAAATTTGTATTTATCTAGGCTTAAAAGAAAGTTTCTTCTTCATCAGCAGTCGCTGACGAAGAAGAACCCATTTGAATCACACCGTAATGTTCAAGCAAATATGCAGGTAGATTTAAATAAGAAGATACTAAATTTTAGGCTCTATGAAATGAAATGCACATGTCACACAAAAACTTCACATACAAGAGCACATGCCACACAAAAACTAATGAAAAGTGTCTTTACTAGAGATGAGCCAACCAACCATGCAAGGAATTGGGAAAACCTATTTTTAAACATGTTATTGTTATAACGAATTTGTTCTTCACAACGATACAATTTAATAACATATTATTTTTAATTGGTAATTTTTACGTGAATTATCTGCAATGAAAAATGTACCAATACTTGGCCAAAATTCACCAATAAATGTACAAAATTACATTATTGTATTTGGGGAAATGCAGCTATAAATGTTCAAAATTCCATGAATATCCTTGTGTAATTTGCACCCATATATGTTCAAAATTAGGAAATATAACTGGGTAAACTGCACCCATAATAAAAATATATCTGGGTAAACTGCACCCAAAATTGCAATAAGTCTGGGTAAACTGCACCCATGTTCAATCTGATAGAAATATATCTGGGTAAACTGCACCCATAAGATAATAGAAATAAATCTGGGTAAACTACACCCATGATAAAAATATATCTGGGTAAACTGCACCCATAACAAAATATATCTGGGTAAACTGCACCCATGTTCAATATGATAATCTGATAGAAATATATCTGGGTAAACTGCACCCATTATAAAATATATCTGGGTAAACTGCACCCATTATGATTTTTTTTTTTTTTTCCATTTTCCAGGGTGATATAGAAGTTAAATTACTGCATTGTAATCCGTCGACGGTATCACAAATACATTTAAATGTGGGTAAACTGCACCCATAATTATATTTATTATAGACACTGCAAATTTAAACCCAAAGGCGGACTGCCGGCCCAATATATCATTACGGGCAATTGGCAGAACCTTTTGTTTCTCTTTATAATTTTGAAAGCAGTGTCTTCCTTAGTTAGAAACACCCTGTTATCAAGTTCACTTAAAATACTACTATAAACATATATTGTACAAGAATCATACGAGTTGAACGAATATTTGACGGCTATCTACCTTGTCTTCCTTAGTTAGAAACACCCTGTTATCAAGTTCACTTAAAATACTACTATAAACATATATTGTACAAGAATCATACGAGTTGAACGAATATTTGACGGCTATCTACCTTTTACTTAACTACATGTGCAACTGGATACATAGCCTATTCTGAATGAGTTGGGTTTAATGTTATTAAAAACATATGCTTATAAATTTAATGCAATTTACATTAAAGCTGCACTCCCCCAGATGAAATCAAAATATTTCAAGAAAATCAAACAAAAGAAGTACTTGATTTATAAGAACAATAAAAGATTCAAAACTGAAGTAATATCTTTATAATATGCAATATGTTTTGCAGTATTTTCCACCATATTTCTACTGCGTTACTAACGCAATGAGGGTTATTTTGCATATATTTTGACTTCTTTCATTTTGCTGAATTACATAGGTTGTAAGTGCTGTATCCAACATGAATTTTTTTTTTTTTTTTAATTTTCATGAAAATTTGCATGAATCTGGAGGCATGCTGTTTTAAATTAAATGGCATGAAAGTACAGCCATTGAAGCTTTATCATTTGTAATGGGATATCTATTAAAGATACAATTGTATATCATCAATACGTTTCCTTTTCTATTTTGTCGTTTAAGCGATGCTATTAAACGTACCAATACACTCTAGAATCTAGATCATTTGTGTGCGGTTAAAAAACGGACATGTTGCCTATAGTTAATTAATAAATATATCATTATAGCCGAACATGTACTTTTTAGTAAGTTGTTTCAAGATGGAAATTTGGACATTGTCAGTAACACGTGACGAAAAGTAGAGAATTTCTTCAAACTGAAGGCATAAATATTTCTTAAGTAATTCATTAGATTTTCTAAGTAAGTGTACGTTTAATTTCTAGTCCAAACTAGTATTCTTCAACCTCGATATGCTACTGTCACACAATGAATTGCTTTGTATTATAAACAAGGCTTTATAGTTTACATTAGGTAATTGAGGCAAATGCAACAACGTTTGTGACGTGCGTATTGTTACAAAAGCAGGTATGCCATTTATATCAGTTTATGTAAGACTGAGGGTGGCTATATTAAAACAGAACCGAAAATAAACATATCACTCAATTCCAGATTTTCTGTAGCCCGAGGGTGACGAACTAATTGATAATTAACTAATCTTTCTACTTCCGGTTGAATATCTGAAGAAATGCTTAAAGATCCTGTATGTTTTGTAATTGATATTGTTACTGAGTGTATACCACACTTGCAAAAAATTATATATGTATTATATATACTATATAATTATGCAAATAAAACAATTTCCAAACATTGAAGAATATGTAAAATGTGTACTGCAAACATTTGTGCATATCATATTCAATCAATAAATTATATGCATTCATTTCTTATTGGAAAATTAGACTTTATTATAGGAAATACATTTCTAATTACCTCCCTTTATTTACATGAAATGTTAAATTAGGTAATATCGTTATAAATAATAATTATTGGAACTTACAATATTGACAGATCTTAATTTGAGCATCATATTTATGAAATAAAACCATGAACAAATTATGAAACAGGATCTTTAATGGTATTGGAGGGAAGCCTAGATGCCTGTTGTGGTTAATCCGGGAATAGCCATAATGGCTATTCCCGAAATAACCTTGACCATTGAAAACGTGTCATTTAATCAGCAATAGTATTCTGTATTGAACATATATTTATTATTTATTATTTTTTTATTTTATTATTATTATTATTTTTTTTTTTTTATTTTAGTGTTTATTTCTAAGATAAACAAATATTAGATGAAAGCAAATTTAATCACACGTTCATTTATTCTTCATGGATCCATATATTTTGTCTATATGACAATTTCATATTTCTCAGCAGTATTAATTATATTATTTTTCACATCGTTTCCTAACAGATGTATACATGCAACAATTCCACTTGGTACGAATTCTTAAAAGAAAATTTCTCAAGAAATGCTATTCTCCCCATAAGCCATGCCGTTAATTACCGAATGATCGCCTTTAATATAAAATTCAAAAACTTATTTAACCTTAATTCATTAAAATTGATACGACGAAACCGTTGAGCAATAGCATCCATACCATTGCATCATTATTGTCATTCTTATTATTATTAATATTATAATAATTATTATTACTTTTGTTTTTGCATTTAGTAATAAAACTCAAAACTGATGCTCACACTCAAGACCATGAATTTGAGGAATTCGGATGGCTTAGTTTTCGGCGTCGATTTCAGTCACTTAATATGTAAATACTTAACTAAACGTCACATGTTATAATGTAAGAAAACCAAAATCCTAACCTAATGACAGAAAGTCATAGGTTTAAACTACTGCGATTTGAACGATATCTATAAAATTTTAGAAATTATTGCTTGACTTTGAAAATGAAAATTGTGCAACCCGACCCTTTAAAATGGCAAATGTTTATTTACAATTAATGTTCCCGCAAAGGATGAATGCAGATTTAATATCCAAATAGGCATATTCCCTAGATTTAAACTATATTCAAGAGCAAAACCAAAAGCGTATATCTAGTTCATGTTAACTCGAATGTATTGTAATATAGACATAATTTTACATCTCTGGAAGACAGGGGAAATGTTCAAAAAGGTAAAGAATAATATTGTGATGACCAGATGTAAGTGTATCAATAGTCACATGTTCTCCCATTTTAAATCATTAATTGACTTTTCTTTTTCCTGTCTCCCCCAATATTTTATTATTATTGCCATTTTATGAATTAAAGGTCCTTGATGTCTTATAACTTAAAGGTACTCGACTGAAGAGATTTTTAACATGACAGAACTGGAAAGATTTTTTTATATAAATTAGATCTATCGTATTATTTGATACAGTAATAGATAATTACTAATGTGCAAAATTACAAAAAATTCCATCACTCCAAGGTATCCGCCCAAGTTTAAAACATTTTCTTACAGTTGCTTTTAAGAATATTTTATGTTAAATACCGACATTTTGTTAATATTCTGCATTTTTAAAGAACTCTTCTGTAATAAGGAATATATGTGTATTTAATTGATAATGTCATTTTTGTCATAAACAGCATAGATTAAATTTTAACTATAATTTGTATTTAAAAACAGTGACGTCACCTGTCTATCGGTTAATCTTTATCAACAATTAGCTTGATTTAGGCATCACAACTTCTGCTGGTTCTACCGACTTCTGTGTTCTGTTCTGGTGCCATTGTCTAGAACATAATGTTGACCAGTCTCTTCAAAGAAACCTTGACAGCCAGAAAAACTTGTGACAGGTTAGGTTGTCGTTTGGCATGGCCCCAGCAATTTGTAAAAGAAGTAGAATAAAATCAGAATTAAAATGCTGAGTCTACAACAAATTCAAGGTTAACGTATAACGACTTATAATGTCTACGAATGACATTACTAACCATTATGAAGCATCCCTACGTGAAAAGTTTAATATATTAAAGGATAGATCTAGATCTACCTGGACAATTATTCAACATAATTTATGGGTAGATAAAGTTTCTTTATCAATACTTTATAAACATTAACACAATAACATACTGTCAGGGCATTTATTACACTGTATACTCCACTAGTCACAAGGTATTTGTGACGTCATAAAGTCTAGTGATGACGTGATCAAATATTTTTCGTTTTTATTAGGCTAAATAAACCTACTGCAGTATTGCAAAATAGTATCAACAATGTCTTTAGTAGGATCACTTTTTCTCAGACCTTTCTCTGCCCTTAAGCCTACAGTAGATCTATCGGTAATAGATCTAGATTGTCTAAATCTCGTGGTCGTAATAAAATTTGAAAAATTGGTTTGTAAGATAATATAAATTTAACACAATATTAAAGATAATAAAGAAAAGCAACTCTACCTTCGGCTACTTTAAAAAACACAAAAATGAAGTCTTATTGCCATGTTTGTTCAGAACCGCTACAGTACATAATTTTTTCTCCAATATTTTTCCGTTTTAGTTCACGGCAGCTTCTGGAGCTCGGAGACTGGATCGAAAAGCAATTTTTCCGTGTTAGTTCACGGCAGCTTCTGGAGCTCGGAGACTGGATCGAAAAGGAATTTGCAGAAGCGTGCTCGGTTTATATACCCAGTCTACTAAGCATGCGCGAACGAGATTGAATGACTTGTTAGGAGGAGGAGCCAAATATACAGGTCATTGCAAAAATACTGTGACGTATAGTGTAAAAATAAAGAGTTTAAACTCAAGCGCTTAAACTGAATATTATGTTTGTTACGCGACGCGTTGAACGGTTGTCTGCCCATTTGAATGTATGGTGTATCATAACTAAATACAGATCATCTTCTAATCATAGACAACCATGAGGAAGGCTGTCCAAATGTTCTCTTTCTAGAATGAATACATTTATAATTCGTAACTTTATATTGAAGTAGAATTTATAATTTCGTTGAACACTACTTTTTATAATAAAGGTTTTATAATAAATCCATGCCAATTACCAGACAAGTAAATATATTTTGAATTTGTATTGAACAAGACATGCAATAAATCATAAAAATGAGCCCTTTTTTAAGTCTTTGAAGAATGCGAATGTCGGCAATTTACTCGCATTTATGAGGCACGTTGTGCCTCAAAAATCCATATTTTTTAATTTTTTTAAAAATTAAACTATGTTAAAATTTTATAGTTTAAAGAATGAAAATTTCGCTGAACGTGGAGTTTTTGTGCCCGAAAAAGTATACAGTATTTTGGGGTGGAAATTGGAAACTGTCATAATTCATTTGTTGTACTTTGTCTTCATTGATACACCACGAAAAGCTGGTATTTTGGAAGAATGGATGTATACAGCCTGTCTAGGTGTAAAATTTCATTATTTCAATGCAACTGTTGGTGTTTACAGCAGATAATTGTCAAGGGGGTCAATCTACAAGCATTGTTTACATATGAAGAAGAGTATAAGTGTTACTTAAAAGTTAATATTCAGTTTAAGCGCTTGAGTTTAAACTCTTTATTTTTACACTATACGTCACAGTATTTTTGCAATGACCTGTATATTTGGCTCCTCCTCCTAACAAGTCATTCAATCTCGTTCGCGCATGCTTAGTAGACTGGGTATATAAACCGAGCACGCTTCTGCAAATTCCTTTTCGATCCAGTCTCCGAGCTCCAGAAGCTGCCGTGAACTAACACGGAAAAATATTGGAGAAAAAAATATGTAGCGGTTCTGAACAAACATGGCAATAAGACTTCATTTTTGTGTTTTTTAAAGTAGCCGAAGGTACTGTAGAGTTGCTTTTCTTTATTATCTTTAATATTGTGTTAAATTTATATTATCTTACAAACCAATTTTTCAAATTTTATTACGACCACGAGATTTAGACAATCTAGATCTATTACCGATACTGTAGGCTTAAGGGCAGAGAAAGGTCTGAGAAAAAGTGATCCTACTAAAGACATTGTGGATACTATTTTGCAATACTGCAGTAGGTTTATTTAGCCTAATAAAAACAAAAATTATTTGATCACGTCATCACTAGACTTTATGACGTCACAAATACCTTGTGACTAGTGGAGTATACAGTGTAATAAATGCCCTCACAGTATGTTATTGTGTTAATGTTTATAAAGTATTGATAAAGAAACTTTATCTACCCATAAATTATGTTGAATGATTGCCCAGGTAGATCTATCCTTTAAATATATTAAACTTTTCACGTAGGGATGCTTCATAATGGTTAGTAATGTCATTCGTAGACATTATAAGTCGTTATACGTTACTGTAACCTTGTATTTGTTGTAGACTCAGCATTTTTAATTCTGATTTTATTCTACTTCTTTTACAAATTGCTGGGGCCATGCCAAACGACAACCTAACCTGTCACAAGTTTTTTCTGGCTGTCAAGGTTTCTTTGAAGAGACTGGTCAACATTATGTTCTAGACAATGGCACCAGAACAGAACACAGAAGTCGGTAGAACCAGCAAGAAGTTGTGATGCCTAAAATCAAGCTAATTGTTGATACAGATTAACCGATAG